GCTTTTTTATGTAGAATTTGGGAAGGAGAGTTGTAAAAAAATTACTCCCAAGATTTTGCTCATGGGAGAGTTGTAACCCGGCGGTTAGAGAAGAATGGGGGTGCAGCGTATACTGTTTGGTACATTTGGAGATTAGGGTGGTGTGGACACATGGGCAGAGATGCCCATGGGGGTTGGCATGGGGCTGTGGGGGCAGGCTGGGCATTTCAGTTTTGGTTGATTGGCCAGGAGCGATGCCCCACAGTTCACCGCCTGGAGGGGGCGTGGGAGGAGCAGGGAGCATGTGTCCGAGAGGGAGACCGTGGGGCTCCTTCTCTGCTCGCTCTGCTTATTGTGTCTCCAACATGACAGAGTCGGTGAACAAGCAACACCTCTTCTTGATGAGGTCCTTTTGAGACTAAATAGCAAACCCTCTCAAATGAGCTCCAAGATGCACCAATCTTCACTGAGTGTACTTGATAAGTAGAATCTTTTTCCAATTTTATTTTTCACGCATTATAAGGTGCACTGGACACAGGCTGAGAGGAAGTGTAATTAATTCTTCGTTCCCTCTTTCTTCCAACACCTCTTTATTAAGTGCCTCTCCTGCGAAGGTCAGAGTCTGGGCTGGGTGCTTTGGCACATACCACCAGGTGAGCCTGGGCTCGTGCAGAATTTGTTGTCTCGCGGGGAAGCGGACATGAATGCCCAGGGGCTTGCTCTGGCTTCAGGACAAAGGGCAGTCCGAACGGCCTCTGGGGGTCAGACCAGCTCCCCGGAGGAAGTGGTGTTTCAGCCGAGCCCCTCCTGCCTCCAGAAGCCGGCCTCTCTTTGTCCTAATCTGCAACAATTTGTTTTATTGAAGTGACTTGCTCTTTCCAGCTTGGGTCCTGGTTCTGGCAGGGGAACCTCCTGCAGCCTCGGGTCTGTGTTAGGACTCTCGTGAGTTCACCTCTGCTGAGAGACAGGGGCGGGACGGGGGCGCCGCGGAACCACGGTGGTGTAGGGACTTGCCCTTACTCCTCTGAAGCTATAGAACCACCTGTAGCTGTGTTTCTAGAAGCTCAGCAGGCCTTTCCTGGGCAGTGGGTTTCACAGAGCTCTGGCAGGAATAAGTCTGTCCGCCGTGCACCCCCAGCCCAGGTCTGGGGTTTCCGTCTGCAAGACAACGTGGGCCTGCCCACCAGCTCGGGTGGGGCGCCTGCTCTGAACCTCATTTCCCCCGTGTACTGTGTTCTTTGCTGCTGTTCTCGATCATACTCGCTGTGACCTTCAGAAGTGGCAAGAGCTTTGTTCCCGAAGAAATGAAGGTTTTCTTAAGCCCTCCACCTGTAAGAACCCTAGGGCAGCCTGTTTCCTAACACAAGCCGTTATCCCCCTCCTGTATACTTTAAGGCTTTTTTAAACATCTTTTTGAATTATTATATCTTTTTCCTTTTTAGACAGGAGAAGTCACTTCTGTGGCTACTTGAAATTCACTTGGTTGTTTGCTCTGCTGAGATTACTGACACACGTAAGCTGACTCCCACAGACAGGTGCCCCTCGGCCCGCGCTGCGTGGTTGCGGAGACCACGGTTTCCCGCAGGACATCCTCCTCCCTCTTCACGCCTCTCCTTGCACCCCTGGAGCAGAGCCAGACCAAGGTGACCGCTCTCTAGGCCGCAGGAGGGGTGTAAGTGCCGCGGCTGCATCTGGAGGAAGGACCTTCTCCGCAGCCTGCTGCCTCGCCTCCTCACAGCTTCTTGTCGGATTTGGGGTCTAGAGCAAGCCTGTGACTTAGTTTCCACACAACTTTCCTCTCCCTCCCTCTTTTCCCTCCCTCCCCCTCCTCCTTCTTCCTCCCTTCCTTACTCCACCCTCCTCCATCATCTTTTTTCCTTCCCTCCTCCTCTCCTCCCTTCCTCCTCCCCCTCCTCCTCCTCCCCTACTCCCCTGCCCCCTCCCTCCCACCTCCCTCCCCTCTGCTGTGGGTATCAGTTTTTACAGCTTGCCCTGTTCCCCGTATTTCTGCTTCAAACACCCTGCTCTCCCAGGGCCCACGCGTTTGTTCTGTAGTCTTGGACATCGTAACCGACCACGCTAGAACAGTGGGCAGATGGAAGGGGAAGGGGAGGTCTGAGTAAGGGCTCAAGGGACACTGCAATTTAAAGCATAAAATAAACACATGAGCTTCAGTGGAGGGATTTTGATTGTTCAGATGCCTTTACAGCTTTTTCTCATTTGGGTGCTGTTGGCTGTGTTCCCGGCCCTCATGGGCTAGCAGTTTGCTGAATGTACTTGGAAATGGTCTCATTTTTGTACCCGGCATCTCTGCGCTTACCTGGGTTCTTCACTGTCCCTCGGAACTCAGGCGCAAGCATCCGTCATGTGCCATGTGCCTCAGACATTGCTGCTCACTGTGGGGAGTATGAATGAACTCTAACAAACCGGGTCTGCTGTCCAGAAGCCTCAGCCTGGCCGGAGAAACCACAGGCAAATAGTTAGGTAGTCAGTCTTTGGCATCAAATTGGCTAATACTTGCCCTGTGATTTGTGAGTCACCTGGGAATCTCTGGATTTCTGGAGTTTCTGTTAAAAAGTCCACATATGTGTGTCATCCCCTTTCAGACTGTGGTCTTGCAAACACCGGATTGGGCAGTCATTGTCCCTGTGGTCACCCCCATGGCTGTGCAGCTTCTTGTCCTGACCTCTGCGTGCGTGTGTGCATGTGTGCTGGGGCATGTAAGTTATGAGTGAGATCTGCTCAGGAGCTCCTTGCGGCGTCCTAAATGTACTCATCCTAATATATGGTGCTACGTACGGACTGCACTTTCTTGTGCCCACAAATTCATATGTTGCAACGCTGATGTCCAGTGTGTTCGTGTGAGGAGGTGGGGCCTCTGGGAGGCAGTGAGGGCCTGAGGGTGGAGCCCTCACCGTGGGAGCAGTGCCCTGGAAAGAGAGGCACGCGGCTCCCTCTCCCCCTCTGCTGTGTTGAGGACACGGGGGAAGGCAGCCTTCTGCGAGCCAGGAGGCCCCTCAGCAGAACCCCGCCACACTGGCCCCTGAGCTCGGGTGTCCAGCCTGCAGTGGCGTGTGTAATAAATGTGTGTTGTGTAGGCAGCCCGGTCTGTGGTGATTTGTTACAGCCGCTGAGCTAAGCCGGGGAAGGTCGAGCACAGGTCAGTGCGTCGTTCTGCCCCAGGACAGGCCTGTGAGCTGCCCTTCTCCCTTCCTGGTTTGCATTTCCTCTTGGCCTCACTGTCCGTTGTGTGAACTCTGCATAGTTTACCCGTGGAAACAGCCACCAGAAGTTTGATCATCTTGCTGTTAAAGAGCTGTCTTCGAAGTTAGGATTAGCCGGTATCTCAACAAAACAGGAGCAGCAGATTTCAGAACCGGGTTTCTTGCCGTCTCTTCCAGCTACTGGGTTTCAGTTTTATATACTGGAGATTGTGCATTCTCCAGAAAAGGTGTGCTAAGCTCCGTGTGATGGAGGTGCGCTGCACCTGTGTGTGTCTGCTAAGCTCCGAAGGAGAAGGAAGCTGTGGTTTGGGAGGGCATCAGTGTTGGGATTACACGTCCTAGCAGCCCCAGTGACGGTCTTGGGAAGGCAGTGTGAGGGTGGGCGCCGTCAGCGCCGGTGTTGTCGGGGGGACCAGCCGCAGGGTCTTGGCTGATGTGTGCACTCCCTCCCGTTACAGGACGTGAGAGAGACTCTCCTCCTTACAGCACGTTGGGAATTCATCAGCGAAGACAAACTGAAAGCTTCTCCTCTCCGTGGCCTTCCCACAGAGCTGATAAGATTTGTGGTCTGCCACTAGTTACGAGATAGGCGTTGAATCAGATGCGGTGGCTTTGGCTGCAGGTCACAGGAAACTGGGCTTCAGATCGGTTGACCCACGACGAAGTGACCTGATGTCACAGACAGGGCAGACACAGACGCCCGCCCATTGCCATCAGTCCTTGGGCTACAAGAGATGTGGGCATTCTGCCCAAATGGCAGTGTCCGTGCTGGGCCTCCTTGAGACCCGGCCCCCAGCAGGCCGTGTCCTGTTCGCTCGGCGCAGTTGGTCAGCTGTCTGCTCCTCAGTCCCCAGGAAGACGGGTCGGCTCGGGCGGCCGCCAGAGAGCACCACTGGCTGGGGTCTGAAACCACAGACCTCATTGGTCCCGGTCTGGGGGCTGGAGGTCGGGGGTCAGCACGGTGGCGTTCTGGCCAGAGCCCTCTTCCTGGCTTACAGACGGCTGCCTTCCCACCGTGTGCTCAGGTGGCGGGAGAGAGAGCGACCCCAGAGAGGCAGCGAGGGACAGGGAGGGAGCACGAGTGGGCCAGGCCCGTCGCAGGCCGCCCTCCCCACCTCCTGTAACCCTGAGCGCCCCGACGGCCCGGCCTGCTAACCTCCCAGCCGCCTGCCCTCAGCTGAGCCAGGAGGACATGGACGTTGGGCGGGAGAGGACGCAGCGCCACACGTGTACATGCTGCTGGCCATCGCCGTGTGCTAGGGCGAGCCTCGCTGCCCATGGGGGACGCGCACAGTAGCCTCAGACTCAGGGACATCGGGGACTTCCGCGTCCCCACTCATGGGGGTCCTCCTGTTCCTCGCAGTGTCATGTGGGAGCCCACGGGGGACGGGAAGAAGGTCATCTCGCTGGCGGACAACCACATCCTGCTGTGGGACCTGCAGGAGAGCTCCGGCCGGGCCGTGGTGAGTGACATGCTTACAGTTTTCATTTTTTGTGTTTTTTAATTGGACCTTTTGGCTGAATTCAGAATATACTTCTTGGTTTGTATACGCTTAGAATTTTGACATTAATTATGAAATACTTAATGAACGGGCAGAATCATCAGTCGGAGAATTGCATGACTGGCTCTTCAGGTGAAAGCTGCCTGGGGTTCAGGCCTCTGGGCCATGCAGACAGCACACAGAACTGAAGGTTGACAAAACCCCACCTTTTGGCCATAATTTGTCCAAAGGAGGCTGTGGGATATCCCGACATATATTCTCTTGTCTCAAGTATATTGTCTTTCCAATGAACAGATTTTTCAAAGTCTGGTTAAAATTGCCTTTTAGGTACGAGCAGTCATAAAATAATAATTTCGTGGTGCTGATGAGCTTATTTTGAGTTTCTGTGTGAGTTGTAAAAATGACAGTGGTCTGTGACCCCTCTCCCCCACGGCCTATGACCCCCGGTGGCCTGTAACCCCCCCGTGACCCGTGACCGCCCCCCACGGTGTCCTGTCAGCTGACCTTCCCCTCACTCGAATGTGTGCACCTTTCTGCGGTCACAGTCCTCAGACCCTGTGCGTGTGATCGTGGGCCCGCTGGGCGGCACAGAGCACCTCGCTGCCTGAGCCACGGCCACCCGCATGTCACCCTCGGGGTTCCGTTTCTGAGGACGGCAGAGGCTGGGTCCTCACAGCTCCCGTGGGGCCACACATCTTCACACTGTTTAGTGTTTAGCACTGACTTTCTTGGGAACCAGTTTTGCTTTCAAATAGTCATTGCCTCAGATACTTTGTCCTTCTGGAGTAAATATTTTACTGATTAGTATATTTCATGTTTGATTCCTTAAAATTTCCACTTTTAAAATGTGACTTTTATTTTTTTACTTTATTTTTATTTTTTAAAAGATTTTATTTATCTATTTGACAGAGACACAGCGAGAGAGGGAACACAAGCAGGGGGAAGCAGGCTTCCCGCAGAGCAGGGAGCCCGATGTGGGGCTCGATCCCAGGACCCTGGGATCATGACCTGAGCTGAAGGCAGAAGCTTAATGACTGAGCCACCCAGGTGCCCCTAAGATGTGACTTTTATATTGTGTTCATGATTTCATCGCATTTGTTTACCTCAAAGTAACAGCTTTAGAGAGAAAAATCTAGAGACTTGACAGAGCTTACGGTGTCTGTGGGACAGATTTCTGTAGTGGTGGCTCTTCTTATGCTTCTTTGTTCCCATGACATGTCTTCAGCCCTTTTCCCTCATGGTACGTTATGGTATTAATAAATCCGTTCTTGGGTAGGCGGTAGAGATGGCGTAAATAGTGATTGATTATCATCAGTACATGGAGTCGAAGTCAGACTCTTTAGAATATAAAGTGCCGTGTTTAAGTTTTAAAATTCTGCATGGTCAGAAGGGAGTCTCGTAGCCTTCAATGTGAAATTAAGAGCTGGTCTGTCTTTGTAATGTCTAAGTAATATTTAAGGGGAAAAAAATCACTGTTTTAATTTTGAAAAGGACATATTTCTATATCGTAGAGTAGAATGCAAATTTCACCCAGATTTTAGAGCGGAACAGGAAACTTGAGGGTAGCCCAGTGCCTGGGGCTGCTCCCTGTGGGCTACAGGTCTGGGGGGAGATGATGCATGCCCTCCCAGGGGCCGGCCGCAGAGTCGGAGTCTGGGTCAGCGGCAAGCCCCCTCCTGTCCCTCCCTCCCACTCGCCTCTCGAGGGTGCTCCCGTGTGGCCAGAGACCAGACATGGGAAGGGCAGAGTCCTTTCCTGATGTAGTGCAGGTCGCGGAGATGCTGGGGGAGCTGTGGGCCCCGGAGCCCTGGGCCGTGCCACGCCCTGCCTGGCTGGAGAGGCCAGGAGGAGGCGAGCCCTCTGTGCATGTGCGCGCATCCCACAGCCCGTCCTGGAAGCAGACGGGGGCGCCTCTCCAGACCCTCGGCCATCCCAGAATGATTTTATGGTAGGGTGATCAATCTGTAACTTATTTTCTGCAGAGACCAGTTTAGTTTTTTCTCCTTCGTTTTTATCTGCCGTCAGCACTTCCGTCAATACCACTTTGCGACCCTCTGCCGTGGTATTTAATACCGAAACCTTCCTATCGATTCCGGCCATCTTCACACCCAGCACCTCCGTTTTTTTTTTTTTATTGTTGGAGGATATTGCCTTCTGTGGTGAATCTAATCTTCTGCTCACTGCATCATTACCTTTTGCAATTAAATCGGAGGTTCTTTGCCATTTATAATCATTAGCAGAGCCCAGGGGCGGTCTGCAGGGGGAGGTTGCTCGGGGTCCCGGCCCCGCTGAAGGCAGAGGGGAAGCCTCCCTGTTTTGGAGTGTGCTCATCCATCTCTGGGGCCTAGCAGCTCTCAGTAGCTGTGGAAAGAAATAGCTTTCCAGGTGCAGAGAGCAGCAGAGCAAAAGGAAGACGGGTGCCTTGAGAGTTGGCTGTCCTCTTCCTTCTGGCCGTGCGTCAGCCTGGGGGCTTCTCAAGGATGAACCTGGGGTGTCCCCTGCCCGGCGGTACAGGGCCTGAAGGCAATGACATTCAGGAACGCCTCTCAGAAGGAAGAGGATGGGCTTCAAGGACATAGTGTTCTTGCAGAAATGTTCGAATGTGAGGCTTAAAACCTACAGCAGGGACCGACTGCACATCAGTGCGGAGGGGAAGCTAGTGGTGACAGGAAAATCATTCAGAGCGGCTTGGGCCACGTCTGCTGTGCCTGGAAATATAAAACATGCATTTGTTCATGGGGGCAGAGGGCTGGGCGGAAGTGGGGCTGCCTGTAGGACAAGCGGGCTGGGCCCCCATGTGCCCCTTCCTCTTGCGAGCCTGTCTGTCGCCTGCCACACCATGACCGCGCCTCATGCCCGGCCCGCTGTTCTCCAGGTGTGGCCCTGAGGGGAACGGAAGCCCAGTCGGTGCTGGCGGGAGTGTTGCAGGGGGCTCCCCGGAATCTGCCCTCTGGGGACGTGGCCCACGCAGGGACCTCGTGTCCAGCCCCCGGGGCAGCGGGGTGGGTCTCCGCAGACGGGCGTGGGTGGACGTGGCTGCTCTGTGCCACGGGGGGCGCCTTCCCGCACTGTGGCCCCTGCTCTCTGTCCCATCTTTTCAGCGGAGCCTCTTGCAGAGGAAAGGTTT